GATGATTGTGAAAATAAAATGTATTGTTAAGGGTATCTAGAAGACCTCTAAGATATACCCATATTAATGTTGATTTGAAAGGTATCTAGAAGACCTCTAAGATATACCTATTTAAGTTAGGCCTTGCGGGTATGAACCCCGGTGGCTAGGGTTAAAACGTACGTACGGGATCCAGGAACCAAACTTGAGTACCTACTCGTTTGGGGGTACCACCCACCCAACAGTGAACACTACGCTGTCGGTTTTTGGTTGGCCTTAAGTGAAGGTAAGTTTTAGATTTTCAAAACCCTTTTATCTTAAACTAGGCCTAGCTTAAGGATTATTTAGGAATATTTTATACTGGAATATAGTTTAATTACTTAAACTAGAATTTGTTTAAGGGTTGACAAATATTAAAGTGATTGGCCTTAGACTAAGAATAGTTTAAGGATATTGTTGAATGTTGAATATTGAGTATTGAATATTGAATATGAGTAAATATTGAATGATGAATATTGAATTGAATATTGCAATTATTATGAATGACTGATGAACATTGAATGTGAATATAAATGTTGAATAATGCATGATGAATAATTTTTAATAATTATTGATTATCTGAACTGAACATTATGTGCATAATATCAAATGATTTGATTATGAATTTAGATTCAGTTTATATGAATGTTCGATGCATTAGATATGCTTACTCAGCTTCAACGCTGAGCGTGTAGTATGTTTTATTTGCTACACGCAGGTTAATGAAGTGACGTGATCCTGGAGCGTTAACACTTTTTTTGTGATAAATAAAAGTGTTTGAAATGTTTTAAATTTTTACGATTACCAAGTTAATACTTTGATCTGAAAGGGGCTGCAGACCTGGACAGATTAGGGTGTTACAGTTTGGTATTCGAGCAAAGTGAGGCCGGAGACAGATATCTTTCTAATCTGTATGGTATGGGACATACAGCTTGGTAAGATACATGTAGCCGGTGGAGGTAGATATCTCTCTAATTTGTGTGGTATGGGACACACAGCTTGGGGAGATGCATACAGCCAACTCATGATCCTTGGGAACCCTCGCGCGTGAACGGTGGCGAAGCGTGACTCCCTGCCTAAGGGCTCAAGCAATTGAGTGCTTTGATAGGACCAAATTGTAGCCACATAGATGTGTTACAGTTTGGTATCGGAGCAAATGGTTTTAAACCCGATCTTCGGATCAAAATTTTATTTTAAAAAAAATAATAATAAAATAAAATGTCAATCACATCCACGACTCTCGCATCCATCTGCTCCAGGAAAAAGGTATGAGAATTTACTTAGTAAATGTTGATTTTGTTAAAATTCTCATTAGATAATAATTGTTAGTACAAAAAAAAACTACATCGAGCTAGACTCAAGTCAATCCTTCGTACTCGGTGAAGAGACGAAAGAGTAAACGAAATGTGTATAACTTTCTGATACGTTATTAGCGTACGCATCGCATCGCGAATGGCAAAATTGATCTATACCGGAACGTCTCGTAGAAGTAAGACGACTTTGAAGAAACGATTAATATTGATTTTACGAACAACATCTAAGAAGTTGAGGTCAAAGATCCTGACTCAAGACGATCTGATCGCTGATTCAAACACGAACATTTAGAATTAATAAACTCTGGTATCTGAAGTATTCCATTCTGATTTCTAATTCATTATGAACCAAATATGTGGTTATATCACATAAATCAAAATCGTTCGTTAAGCGATAATTCCTTGTAAAACATCGTTGAAATACCATACAAGGAAATTGACATTATCCTTAGTATGAATTGACTGACTGAACGCCGTTGCTGTTAACAACTTGTGATGAAGAATTCCTCAACTAAAGACCGATGATGGTAACCTTATAGAGGTGAAAGCAAAGCTGATTTCTAAACCGACCAAGTTCATCTCGAATATATATACGAAAACATCTCAAGTGTGAAGTCTATTCGTGTGATACCCAAAAAGAAATATCTAAGCTAAAGGAACGTACCGAAAGTATGTCACCCCTCTGATATGAACTTCCGTATGTTTCACCATTCCAACAAATTGAAAACTCTGTCAATCTTGATCCTCGAGAGGACCAATATTCGTAACTCTGTATTGAATATGTTTCCATTAAAAAAACTCAACTATGAAGATTGCCTAAGAAGGAATCATCTGACAAGGTGTTTCCTCTATCGGAGAGTATCTGTTCTGTTCAAACGTGAGTAAAGAAGAATCAATGAGACTCTATATCAACTACTGTCAGTTGAACAATTCGTTATCCCTTACTTCGTGTCATGACTTATTTGATGAGCTTAGAGGATCCATTGTATTCTCTAAGATTGACTTACGGTCAGGATACCCACAAATCCCTATCAAGAAACTTGAACAAACTGACAACCAAGAATCGCTGACCTTTACAATGAACTGACGACTTGTTCGATCAAGTTCAAGGAACCTGTTTGTTAGAAGCTATAAACAGCTCGACCTTGTTATAATAACTTAAATGCTTATCGTCGAAAACATTAGTGAAATAAAGTGATGCTGACAAGGCAAATAGTTAAGAAAATTGACTCGTTCGTATACGCTATTAACGTGAAAGATCGTGATGTGGAACAATACAAAACAAGATGTGAAACAGTGACACCAACAGTGAAAGACTGAAGAATGAAGAAAATATAGCTCGCACTGGTCATATAGCCTAGAATAATATTTATGGAAAATATCATTTCAACATACAACTTGGATCATATGAGGAATGTTACAAATGCAGTTCTAAGTCTAATCTCCCAGGATTCACAAACTCATCATAACTAACCCCAGGTCCCGGGAAAGCTTTAGCAAACTCTAGTTTGTCTAAAAGCTCGTCAACAGAGAAAGAAGAAATAAAAGGTTTCCTCTGACTGGAAGCCATGAAGTTCTGCCTCACCGCATCGTCTAAGAATTTGAGAAGGTTATTGAAATAACCGTCAATGTTTAAAAGACCAATGCGTCTATTGTGTAACCCTTCAGAAGCCCACGAGATCAAGGTGAACAAACCTTCCATGGTGTCAACTCCTCCCGGAAGAACAATGAAAGCTTCCACGGCATGATTCATCTCAAAATATTTGTAGTAATTACTGGAAACTGTGTGCTCTACACTGTACGTAGGTCCATAGACCCGTCATGTTGCTAGGTACCCAAGAATGAAACCTCTAACAAGACCACCATTGGTAAAGACTGTTGAAGCAACAGCTCCTTGAAGGCCAACACTACCTCCTCCATAGGCAAGTTTAATTTTTCGTCTTAACAATTCCCTTCCTAAAGCTACCGCAGTATCCATAAACTTTGGATTTATACCAAGAGAATGACTACCAAGTAGACCAACGAACCTTATGGTGTAAGGAAGTGTTCGAGAAGTTCCTTCCATAATGTGAGAATGTGAGATACTCTTTCCATAATCGTGATATATATAGTCTCTAAAACTGGACCATTGATGGAAATGTAATTATCAATAGCCAAAATACGTACAGTAATATGGAATCGATTTACCTAAAGACGAGAACGCATTCGCCAATACTACAGTCTGCTAACGATATGACGTATTGAGACTCTTGAACAATTGGATTCGTTGTCCTGAAACACGTTTAAATCCGAGNATGACTCATATCCTTGAATTACTCAAACTTGATGTGTTAACTACACCCTTGAAACATCCCGCTTGATCAATCTTGAAAAGATTGAATTCCATTCTTTGTGTCAAAATACTAAAACCACGATTCTTCATTAAACCAAAGATGCTTCATGATACCGATCTTTGAAAACTATAGTCTGTGAACTACGTGACTCGATCACAATAGTAAAACTACCCTGACTTGAACATTATGTTAAACCTCTCTAGGGAACTGCTGCGAAACAGTTAATGCAATTACGTTATCTATGAATATTATTATCAAGAAACTCTGTTTTGACCCTAACAAAGGATATGTGTGTGCAACAACCAAAGAAGAAATGACGTCACGAGAACAAGCTGAATCATTCAAGCGAAAATCCCTAACCTATATGCGATGTTGGTGTTAGAACTTGTAAGGATCCCTCACTCTATGAATTCATGAATTGAATCGCGTACTAAAGATATTCCCTTCTTCCCTTGAAACAAGATCAGCCATAGTGCTACAATCGAATCTGTCGCTATCATATCTAGATATGGTTTCAAATTAATAGAAGAAGTTTAAATACGACAAGTCGTACATGAGACGCTACTCAAACGTCATCACCTATGAATATGAAGAATCATTAAACGATATATGAGCGCTACCATGAAGTGAATGAAGAAATGTTTCGATGTAAATCGATGATAACAAGCTACTGTACAATCAATCGAAAGTACTTCCTTATAAATGATGACAAATCCCATATTCTGAACCGATGAAAGCCATTTAATGTTATTTAGGAGTCATTGATGTACTATGTGAACGATGTGAAGATGTTTTGAAACAAACTCTAAATCCCGAACTATACCTATCGTGAAGGTGATGATTCGAAACTACAAAGGCTATTGAAGAACTTTCAATCAAAGAAGGAATGTTGTTGAATAATGACGAACAATCGAGACTTGTGAATGAACGAAGTGATGTGCAAATATGTTAAATATGCTCTAAAATACGATATTATACCCTGCAAAGGAACTTGGTTATGAATGTTAAATCTGAACGAGAACCTGCAAAAAGGATCATTGTATACCTTTCTTAATCCAAGATTGATAACCTCTTAAAAAATGAATGTGTTTAATAAGACCGACAGTTTGAGATTACATGGATAATGACGTAATTATGGTTTAACCCATTGAGCATGACACGGTCATGATTAAGTGAGATCACTACGAAATGTTGAACGTTTGACCTTAGAAGAATTTCGAGGACGAAATTCCTTTAAGGGGAGAAGAAATGTAACGCCCCAAAATATACCCTAAAATTTATTGAATTAAATATTCAATTAAACAAAATTTGTTTTGATTAAAATAAATTGTTGTTGGGCTTTGGGCTGAAATAAAATATATATTGATATCCAATAAACATAATTGGGATAAATCTCATAGAGATAAATCCAGCATGTTGATTTATTGTGTGATTTTGATTGGGAACCTGAGTACAGACCCAAATTAAGAATAAATGAAGAAATTGTTTATAATGTGAACTTTGAAATGATTTATTGAAATAAATCATGGAAATAAATAATATGAATTAAATGTGAGAACCTTTTTGAATAAAGGTCAATTAAACCAATTTTGACTCTGTCAAAGTCAACCACCCAAAAATATGATGTTGGAAAAAGTATAATGAATAAATATAAAAATTATATCGTTAGATAGAGTTTAACTGTCTGATCGCAACGGTGCAATCGGATTTCAATTCGGAGAAAGTTGGACCAAAAAGTGTTCCCCGACTGGGATCAAATTAGTCCCAATCAGGGACTTGCATTTGGAATCGAAGAAATATCGCAGCCCCCTCCACTGAGACGCCGAAACAGGAACGGATATATCATCACCTTGGCCTCTTCCTCCATTCTTTTACTATATAAGAAACCCAACTTCACCATTTCTTCACAATTCTTCATCAAATTCATTCTGAGAGATAGCCTTGAGTGTGGAGAACGCAGTGGTGCTGTCAAT